TGCTTTTAGATCAACAAATAATAACCCAAAATGATTGTCATTTAATGTCAAGACTTTTTTCCTGTCCTGGACTCGGTCTTGACTCGGACTCGGACTCGAACCTTTTTGGACTCTGTGTTGTCTTGGACTCTAACCTCTTTGGACTTGGTCTTGACTTGGACTCGACTAGTCCTGGTCTTGGACTCAACAAAGGTGGTCTTGACTACAGCCCTAGTAGCAGAACTACTACTTTCAAGATGTAGATAAACTGAGTTATTTTTTTCTGAGTCTTCTATGCTTTTCTTTTTTCCCCTGTGTGTTTGAGACAAGAATTTGAGGATGTCGTATTTAATAACGAGATAACAAGTGGGTCAAACTTTATATTAGGTGTCTTTACTACAGAAAATTTGTTAGGTGCAATGTACTTAATGTGTTCAGGTTTTTCTATTGAGGTAGAATACGGGTAAGATTAGGGACAGGTTTTGGTGAAATGGGTATGTTTAAGGGTGGGTTAAAGGGTAAGGGAAGTGTCGCTGTCAACAGTGTAATTATAGATGTAATTACAGAAATGAATAATAGCTGTAATACATTGTACTTGTAATAAAAAAATAACCGTACACAACAAGTGCATTGCATTGATTAATTAAAAGTTTAATACATAGATTAAATGCATATTAAAATGTAAGTTAAAGACACTTACTATAGTGGGACAAATATAATTAATTATGATTTGGGGAACTAAAATATGGTAAACTCTGACTTGCACTACAGTTCGGTTATCAGTTAGACTAGAATCATGAACTTTGTTTCTTTGGCTCAGTTAAAAGTGTGTTTATTTGAACAAAGGATGCGTGTACACTTTTTCTCACAACACACACATACAGACACACATTTTCTTTTTGAATAATGGGGCCGCTGATATTTAGCAGCATAGTTGAGCTGAGCTAAACCGGTCCAACTTTCATATGAAGAGGGCACAAAAGATAAAAAAAAAACTGCTTTTATTAACAAAATAATTCACCATACATAATGTATTTACGTTAAATAACAAGACTCCATTTTTATGCTAAAAGTTTTTGTCGTGAAACTATTTTCCAACATAAAGAGAACATCACAGTGTATGTAGATTAGTGACAAATACACACGTCAAAAACATACACATTTTAAAGCACAGACCTTTTTCTTTTTTTTGCTCCAAAGGCAGGAATAAAGTGGACAAAGTTACACTGGACTGGTTAAAAAAGGCCTTTTTTAAGGCCTTTGTCCAGACAGTACTTCAGCAAAGGAATAAAACGTCAGCTAACAGTTGCAGTGCAGTACAGATTCGTCTCCATTGGAATGTCCAAGATGTCTGGCACACTCCTGTAGTTTAGCCCTTACAAATAGTAATAAATATCTTTATTTTTACATCATTTAGAAGCTACAAAAGACAAAAATGAGAGCGTTTTTCTTCCCCTCAATAAATAGAAACATGGTTTGACTGTTGGCACAGCTGTGGATGTGCACTCGTTTGAGTTTGGGGCGGTTGGAAAAGGCATGTCATTGTCAGGGACAAACGCATCATTGCATCTGTCAGTTTGAGTTGGGTACCAAAACCAGAGCTGATGAAATCCACACTGTCTGATTCAGCTGTTTTCAGTGATAAGTAATTTGTTTACACTAAAAGAAAAAGAATGACACAATCACAGCCATGATCAATGATTGTTAATATACAGCTACAGTATTTGGACCAATGAGCTTTCATCCTGGACCTGGACCTGGACCTGACAGAAATAGAAATTAAGTGAATGTCACTTGTCACGGTTGTGGGACAAAACTTGCTTTGTCATGTCGCACCTGGACACAGTGTTCAATTCACTCCCAAAACCAAAATGTAATAATAATACATTTCCTTTATTTCAAAATGACTTCTAAACGTGGGCTCACCAATAGCTATTTACATGCACCCAAATAATTAGTAAGATGAAAATGAATGCATATAAATATACCTAGTGAAGTCAGTTTCTACATTTAAAACTGATTTACTTTTAGAGATCATCTTATAAAAACCTGACAATGCAAGAAAACCCCAATTACATAAAATTTGAAATCAGTAAATTGTGATGCCAAAACATAATCAGACATGCACAAAAAGACATCATTGAACTTTGAATAAACCACCATAAAATGTGCTTAAAGTTTGCTGAAATTGTTAGTAACCAATACTCAAAAGAAGTTTAAAGCACTGATATGAACTTTCACTTGGTCAGGTTTTAACAATATAACCTGACATACATAATTAGCGCACAATGTAAATCACTCAATTTTCTTTAAATAACAGGATCTCTTCAGAAGACACACCAAATATAAAATTGTATTTATTTATTTTGCCAATTTTACTCGACAGATTAAAAGATCTAATTTTAAGTGGCGAGAGAAATAATTGGCGAGGGATGGAGATTGGGACTTAACCCACATGTGCAACAGCTCTCAGCTTTACAATCATTTTATAAACCATATTTGTAATACTTTAATATGTAGCCTAGATGAGCCAGTTGAGGATCAGACCTCTCTCCAAATCTGTGGTTATACTGTAAAGGTGCTTGGTGATTTATAGAACAGAGTTGCAAGTATTGACAGTACAGAGCATTATAAAGTATCCAGTTCCAGTGGTGACACTGTAAATCTCTCTCTAGAGACGACAGTCTCTGCTCCAGGTCAGCTGCTGTTGTTTCAGTCTGGGTAGTTTGTGACAGTCAGACATTCAATAACAAATGTGTTCCTAAGGGCTGTGACACATTAGACAGACAACAGAAACATGGACATTCACTTCTGGGGACACTGATATATCTGAGCTCCAAATGTCTGAGACCGCAGTGAAAATCTGGGATTCAAATCTAATTTTAAGGTTCTAAAATAAAGATTTTTTGTTTTTTATCAAGCTCCAAAAATGGCTCGTTTAAATATTGTGGGATTTGTGACGTCACACGGGCAAATCTATTCGCATATGCCTGCCTCCAGAGCAAGACATCGACAAATAGTTTGCACCACCCACTGGCATTCAGTGGTTTAACTGCTGACACTTGCCTACAAGCGTCACATCAAAAGCAAATAAAAGCTTATTTGTATACAGTATACAGATGCCTGTTCACTTTCTGACGTACTCCACTCACTTGAGTCTGCAGACAAGAGAACAAAGGAAAGAGTTAACGTAAACATAAAGGAACGATTGTTTTGACGCGTCCTGTTCAAACAGCTCATAGAGACTTCAGAAGGATACCAGCATCAGGAACGAGTGGATGGTTTATTTTTAATGGCATTGTGGAATGACGGAGGATTATAACACAATGTAATGAAGAGCTCGCAAAGAAACTTTTGTTGACAGATGAAGCAGTCAGCTGTATTGGATTTGACAGCAGCTACATCACAAACCACAAGTAAACGATTTCATAATGCTTTGCCTGTAAATGACGGTTTTATATGGATAATGTTTTCAAAACACTTGCCGTTGATACTGTTTCCTACGCAATGACGTTAGCCAATCATAACCGTTGCCGTTTACTGACAAGCCTTAAAGGGGTCATCGGATGCCCATTTTCCACAAGTGGGTATGATTCTTTAGGGTCTTCATGTAAAGTTTGTAACATACTTTGGTTAAAATTCCTCAATGGTTGTTTAAAACAACACCCTTTTTACCTCCTCAAAAACAGCTCTGTTCACAGCGACCCGTTTCGGTGCATATCTCTTTAAATGATAATGAGCAACTGCTCACCAACACCCCTCTCTCGTGGGGCGTGTGTGTAAAGTGCTGCCTTGGCAGACAGTATACAAATGGCTGAGGGAGGAAATATGCTAATATGGGACAGTCCGTCAGCGGTCGTGGGCGGAGCAAGAAAATGCAAACGGCTTGATTATTGAGTGTTTAGGCTTTTTGAGGATTAAAAGGATTTGAGTGAATGGATTTTTTTCATTGTATGGTGGTTGTGTCCACACACTGCAAAGACACATTTATATGCAAACACCATATAAAAGTGAATTTTGCATCCGATGACCCTTTTAAAGGAGCCTTAAAAACACCCCTTAAAAACAGGTCATTTTCAATAGTTGTCTCAGATTTTTGGACCCCACTGTGTAGATGTTAGAAAGAAAGTTACATTTATTTGAAAGAATACTTAATAGTTTTTATATTATAAAATAAAATGACAAAAATTCAGATTAAGATAATTATGACACTTTTTGTTTTGTAATGCAATTTCATTTTGAGGTGTGCCTGTCCAAATACTATTGAGGTCACTGTACAGTATGTGTATTGAGATTTCTGAGGCAGTCATTTTGGTTTCAGATATGAAATTGAGCTGTGGATTGACAAGTACTGTTATAGTGTAACTCCTTGGAAAACATGTCTTTTAAATAATGAAAAGACTAAAAGTGGGGTAATTTTTCATTATTGGCTGTGTACATGGTTTTATGATGGATTTTCTTTCTGATATGGGTTCATAAATTTGCGGAGCAGTCTAGTCTCAATCATTAAAAAAGAAAAAGAAAAGTCCTAATACATTCAAGCACTCAGACACGGTTTCTTTGTGTGCCCTGTTCCATGGTGGTGTATTCAGCTGATGTGCCTTATAATTTCAGATTGTTCCTGTGGGCTGTTCTACAGACGGGAGATTATTGAAGATTGAACTAAAGCTGCCCAAGATTACTGTTTTATTGTTCTAATCTACAGGATCTTCATTTAGGTTTCTCATATATGTGGTTCAGGTCATTGTTCAGCATTTCCAGAGACACACTGACAGCTCTTAGCTTTCATTCCTGTGTTAATATAAACACTTAGCTTGACCTAAGGCCGCTGCTCAAGTTTGTTAGTGCTTGGAAATGCAATCTATAAATATTTCCACAGATTTGTAGTGGTTGAGTTTTTTTTTTTCAAGCGTGTCCCCAATGTCAAAGGTCTTCATGAATAGTGGGCCACGCTAGACATTTTGACTATGTTGTTTGCAGTTCATTGGCCTGTAAACATTTCTCTCAACATTTTTGACAAAGACTTCTATAGCAGAGGGTCAATGGTCATTTTAATCTGGTCTCTGTGAATGCTGCTTCCAGTGGAGCTGCGATACAACTCGTCCCGTCGACAAAGGAAATGGCGGTTCAGAATCTTCCTAAAAGTGAATCTGAACTCCCGAATACGGTAGGCGTAGATAATGGGATTGACGGCGGAGTTGGCGTGCGAGAGGATGATGGCAGTGTTCATGATGAAACTGGGTTTCTCCAGCTCTCTGTAGAAGAGAGTGAGGCAGTTCAAGATGTGCACAGGCAGCCAACAGAGAGCGAACAGGCCCACAATGATGGAGAGCGATTTAGCGGCACGAATCTCCCGTTGCAGCAGGCCATGGTGGTGATTCTCGCCATTACTCACGCTGCATTTGAGCTCGATCTGACGTAGCTGTTTACGTGCTACTGTGAAGATCTTGATGTAAATGCCCAGCATGATAAGCAGAGGCGGCAGCACACAACCAAAGAAGTTGAAGTACACCATGTAGCTCATGTCCACCACGTTCTCGAAGAAGCACTCGAGGCAGCAGCTTTGCAAGAAGCCTGTTTCCATGTCAGCAGCATCACTGTTGTTGCCAGTCTGTATAGAGCCACTTTCATTTCTGGAGCAGGACAAGTCTTTACGGTTCCAGCCCACAAATGGGATGAGCCCGATGATAAAGGATAAGATCCATAAAATGGCAATGATCTCTCTTGCCCTTTTCCCCGTGACAAGCTCCTTATACCTGTACAGAGAAACAAAAATGAACAAATAAAGACTTAGCAAATTTTGGCTAAACATTTGGCTAGTGGTTGAGTTCATTATATTGTACACTGGGGTCCAAAAGTCTGAGAATACTAGAAAAAATGCTTCTATTTTGCATTTATGTGTATTAGTAAAATAAATGCAAAATAGGGATAAATCAAATGATGTTCTAATGCATAAGAACATCTGACCATCTGTACAAAGAGCCACATGATAAATGTCACAAATTCACTTATTTGATTAGTGACCTAGAAATATTGAAGAACATTAATTATTTCTTCTTCGTTTTAGGTCACATTTCTTTGTTTTTATAAAATCTTCTAAGGTTTAAAACAAATTCCCAGATTCCTTAGAATTTTGGATGCCACTGTATATATTCATTTAATAAAATACCAAAAGCTTAAGCTTAAAAATTATCTCACACTGTACATTTATTTCCTTATATATTTCACTATTTTTATGTTCTACTCTGAAGTTTCAACAGATGTATTGTTCAAAATAAATATACTTGCATAAAGAAAAGGCCACGTTGTGGTTGTCAAACTTTAGTAGTGAACTATACCTGTGGTTACTCTGCTAGAATACCTGTGTGAACTCTGACTAAAAAAAAAAAAGACTCAGAAAAGGAAGTTAGTTCTGACAAAAAGCTTGTGAATCATTTGTTTACAGCCAGTAGCATTATATTTTGTCTAAAGTGTAATGACATTCATGAATGTTTAAGTGTGACTTGAATGTCCAACTACTCCTGTATTTGTATAGATAATATAAATTTGAGTGGGCAAGAGAGAGAGGAGAAAAGAGCTTAACATAAACACTCAAGTGACTGATGTCTTTAGCTTTCACTTGGAGGCGCTTCATCAGGCATCCTCAGACAGCTCTGATTCTGCTTCTACTGATGGACTAAATGAGTAATACTTGAGGTGCATTATTCATCGCACCCACCATAACCTTTCTCTGAGAGACCTGGACTGCCACAGCCGTCAGTGGTGCTGCCTTAGGGACAGATAGAGAGGGGGTTGGGAAAGCACTGATAAAACAAGTTTGCCTGCAAACTACATTATCTTGCACAAGCATTACTGTTACTGTTCCATACATTTAGGGTAGTTTTGTTATTCTTAACTAAAACTATTAAAAATTGTTTTGGTAAACGAAATAAAATATAAATATTCGACGAAAAACTTGAAAACCCAAAGTGAAAATTAGAAATGAGTTGAAATTGCAGTACTAAAATTACTAAAACTGAAAAATAAAGCTGTTCAGACATATTAACAACAACAAAAAACAATGATAAAAGTACATTACTACTTTTTACTGCTAAATTACTACTACTAAAACTACTATGAAAACTGAATACACTCACCTAAAGGATTATTAGGAACACCTGTTCAATTTCTCATTAATGCAATTATGTAATCAACCAATCACATGGCAGTTGCTTCAATGCATTTAGGGGTGTGGTCCTGGTCAAGACAATCTCCTGAACTCCAAACTGAATGTCAGAATGGGAAAGAAAGGTAATTTAAGCAATTTTGAGCGTGGCATGGTTGTTGGTGCCAAGGGCGTAGATTTGGTTTGAACATTGGGGGGGTTGAAGTTTGGGTATGCCTCCTGATATTGTGATCATGGTATAAATAATGGGGGGGTCGTAATGCATAGATTTAAATACTGGGGGGGTTATATCCCCCCCACAAATGACGCCCCTGGTTGGTGCCAGACGGGCCGGTCTGAGTATTTCACAATCTGCTCAGTTACTGGGATTTTCACGCACAACCATTTCTAGGGTTTACAAAGAATGGTGAGAAAAGGGAAAAACATCCAGTATGCGGCAGTCCTGTGGGCGAAAATGCCTTGTTGATGCTAGAGGTCAGAGGAGAATGGGCCAACTGATTCAAGCTGATAGAAGCAACTTTGACTGAAATAACCACTCGTTACAACCGAGGTATGCAGCAAAGCATTTGTGAAGCCACAACACGCGCAACCTTGAGGCGGATGGGTTACAACAGCAGAAGACCCCCCCGGGTACCACTCATCTCCACTACAAATAGGAAAAAGAGGCTATAATTAGCAAGAGCTCACCAAAATTGGACAGTTGAAGACTGGAAAAATGTTGCCTGGTCTGATGAGTCTCGATTTCTGTTGAGACATTCAGATGGTAGAGTCAGAATTTGGTGTAAACAGAATGAGAACATGGATCCATCATGCCTTGTTACCACTGCGCAGGCTGGTGGTGGTGGTGTAATGGTGTGGCGGATGTTTTCTTGGCACACTTTAGGCCCCTTAGTGCCAATTGGGCATCGTTTAAATGCCACGGTCTACCTGAGCATTGTTTCTGACCATGTCCATCCCTTTATGGCCACCATGTACCCATCCTCTGATGGCTACTTCCAGCAGGATAATGCACCATGTCACAAAGCTCGAATCATTTCAAATTGGTTTCTTGAACATGACAATGAGTTCACTGTACTAAAATGGCCCCCACAGTCACCAGATCTCAACCCAATAGAGCAACTTTGGGATGTGGTGGAACGGGAGCTTCGTGCCCTGGATGTGCATCCCACAAATCTCCATCAACTGCAAGATGCTATCCTATCAATATGGGCCAACATTTCTAAAGAATGCTTTCAGCACCTTGTTGAATCAATGCCACGTAGAATTAAGGCAGTTCTGAAGGCGAAAGGTGGTCAAACACAGTATTAGTATGGTGTTCCTAATAATCCTTTAGGTGAGTGTATATATATATGAAGAGTTTGGTTCCAAAACGCGATAAACGCCATTTTGAAAAAAAATTAGTTACTGCAAAAATCAGTATTGTATCTGGTTGGTATTGAAAAGTCAATGTTTAATTTTAAGTAAAATGCGATATCCGCCGTGTTATTCTGTCATGTTTTCTCCCTTTCTTTCCAAACCGCGACAAACGCCAGTCTCCCTTCTCTGCAGAATGCGATATATCCGCTCTCAACCAATCACAACGCACCATTCCACGCAATGTAAACAGTAACGGAAGCGCTTTAAATACACCCGGCTTCCTAGTTCTTCTTATCTATTTTGTACTTTTCGATCAACAAACAAACAAAAAAATGAATAATTTTGACGGCATTGATGAACCTGTGGTTGTTTCTGCGGTGGGTAAGAAACGCAAGGCATCGAAATCGAATCATTTACGTGAGGAGATTAAGAAGATGAGGCACTCGGGAGGAGGAAAAATGTTTTCAATCTTCTTTACAGTTCTTAATAAAAATATTATACTAATAAACTTACGTTGTTGTGTAAAACAGTTTCAATATGAAAAAAAAAACTTTTATATTGATTCAATGGATTAATTGCATTTTGATTTTTTTTTTATGGATTTATTGCATTTTGGGGAAAAAAATAATCCGTTTTTATAATAAATCTTTGAAAATCAAAACCTGGATTTTATTTTTTTTTTGTTATTATGACCTACAAATGCTATGTGAAAGTTTGAAACAGAAAATAGTGGTTTTCATCTTTCCACTTTCTTGGTAAAATTAATCTAAATGGATTTATTGCGTTTTGGAACCAAACTCTTCATATATACAAGAATATTAATAAAAAATACTATAATATAATACTACAATAACACTGGCTTATTGATTTAAACAAACCTCTTACTAATCAAACTTTGATGCATAACTTGTCCTCCAGCATGTGTGCCATATTATACTATACTATGTTATGTACTCAACACTCAAAAAATGAAGCCAAGCAACTGGACTAATGATTTTCCATTGAGAGATAGAACAGTTTAAAAAAAAATCGCATAGACTTACACGGAAGGAGTAGTCATTTACAGACAAGAACATCATGACGGTGATTTGGGGGTGGGTGTTTTGACTTGGGCTAGTTGTCACCTTTATTTATATAGCGCTTTATACAATACAGATTGTTTCAAAGCAGCTTTACAGTGATAACAGGAAAATTAATCAATAATGCAAACAGGGTTCATTTCAGCTATACAGCAACTTTAAAAGAAACAGCGTGATGGTTCAGCTTAAGTCAGTAAACACCTAGCACCCAAAACACCCTAAAAGCGCACTGTGACCACCTTAGCAATTCCTAGCATCATGGGAAAGAGCTTAGGAAAGACACTCATGTCACCCATGTCAGCATCATCGCTTAATGTGTAGTGCATGTGCACTTACTGCAAGGCCATTGCTTTGACTTCTAATTCTGCACATTATTTTCTCAATCCTTGGCTTTTTTGTAGTGCATAATTTAAACCATACTATCTAAAATCTTGGTTTGTTTCAGATTCAAGGATAAATGATGTAATTGCATTTAGCTCCAAGAGCACAGTCTCCTTTTGTTAGACACTTCTTTCAGCTTTAACACTTTTCTCTATCTCTCAGTGCCAGCTTCCCTCTACTCTTAGAGCACATGAATGGAGGGAAAAGTGGATTAGTTGTGGCATGACAACAACCCGCTGGCATCCCAATCACCCTCTCTCTCTTTCACCCCTATTCCGCACACAAATCCCTCCTTCTGTTCTTCAGCTGCCTCTCTTCCGCTTTAAACCAAAGATCTCTGCCAACAGGCTCTAGTGTAAGTGAAAACAGTTTACACAATGGCACTAAAGGGAAAAGGTCTCAGCCGCTTTGCTAACAATGTGAGCAGGTGCATTAAAAGAATACTTCGCCCAAAAACAGATTATGTTGCCAAAGAAAAAAGGCCAGCAGCATTCCAAACTCCAAATAAATTTGATTCCAAACACTCTGTAATTAATGATCATCATCGGTTAAGGGCATTGTCCTAAATTCCCACTGTGACAAAAATCACCAATGGATTTTTTCACACAATAAAAAAAATCAATACTTTCCTTTTCATCAACCCACTTTGCTGTAATGGTTCATCAACCCACTTTGCTGTAACTTATTTATGACCAATCTAATTGTTTAGGGTCATTGAATGCTAAATAAGAACATTAAATGGATAGTTTAAAAACTATCTAACTATCTAAAACCA